AGATATAAAGAGAAAAAGAGAGAGGCAGAGAAAAAGAGGAGGAAGAAGCACGCCCCATGCCGGGAGCCCGACGTGGGACTCGATCCCGGGACTCCAGGATCACACTGTAGGCCAAAGGCAGGTGCTAAATTGCTGAGCCACCCAGGGATTCCCGTCACCTGGTCTTAAAGGTGAGGAAATGAGGTTCCAAGACTTTAAAAAGCTCTTGTGTACCATCTCACAGCTCCCTAGTGGCACAGTCAGGATTAAAATGCAGGTTTAGTACAGCCACAATATGTGTGCATGTTCAGGGCCCTGTTATTCATAACTCTTAACTAGAAACAACGCAAATGTCCATGAATAAAAACCAATAAACGTGCATACTTGTGGGATGCAATATAACTCAATTATAAAAAATGAACGACTGGGCAGCCCGGGTGGCTCAGCGGTTTAGCGCCGCCTTCAGCCCAGGGCCTGATCCTGGAGTCCCGGGATCGAGTCCCACATTGGGCTCCCTACATGGAGCCTGCTTCGCCCTCTGCCTGTCTCTCTGACTCTCTCGCTCCCTCTCTGTGTCTCTCATGAATAAATAAAATCTTAAAAAAAAAAAAAAAAAAGAACTATGTGGGTGCCTGCTCAGTGGCCGGCTCAGTCAGAAGAGCATCTGACTCTTGGATCTCGGGGTTGTGAAATTCAAGCCCCACATTGGGTGTGGAGATTATTAAAATAAACAAACAAACAAAACACTTAAAAAAGAACTACAGAAAAAAAAAAGAACTACAGATACAATAACAAGCATGATTCTCAAAAAAAATTATGTTGAATGAAAGACTAGATATAAGAGCACATATTGTATGATCTTAGGTGTAGGAAGCTCAAAGACAGGTGACACGAATGCACTGTGACAGGAATCAGAAGTGGCTGCCTGAAGGCGATGGGCTGGGGGGGGGGGAAGGATCCCCAGGGGCACCCGTGTCACATGTTTCTATGTGGTCTGAACGAGGTAAACTGAGCATGCATTTTTTTTAACTACCAAACAATGAAGACTCTTTAAATAGAATTCTCAGTTTACAACATACATTCAGGACAGTCCCATTGGGTGACACTAAGACACCTAGTGGTGGGCCAGGCCTCGCCCTGGGTGGAGAGGCAGCTTCTCTAGAGGAGAAGAGCAGAGGACACAACGATCACCTGCTGGGTGGCCTTGGGAAAATCACCCAACTCCTCTCACTCTCCTCTTTTCAAAACAAAATTGTGACCAAAACTGTGATGCAAATGAAGGGACAGACCCGAGAGCCCTGGGCATGTGGTCCTCACAGGCGCCATCTCACGTGGTCCCTGAACAGTCCTGCAGGGTGGGTACGACGAGGGCCTGCATGTTACAGAGGAAGGAACTGAGGCTCCCACAGGTGGACTGGAAAGCCCAGATCACACGCGCAGCGGGTGGTGGCACCAAGATGCAGATTCTGAGTCCAGGTCAGAACCCCCCTGCCAGGTCCGTCTGCCCCCCATTGTCCATCTACTCCTGGTTTCCAGATGGGGAGTGTCACTGTCTAGACCACTTGACGACCATCTTTGTGGCTTATGTATTTATTATCTGCTCCCCCCAGAAGGCCAGCTCCCCCAGGGCAGGGACTTTGTTAGGTGCACCGTCACATCCCAGGAACTAGAACTGTGCCTGGCACGGAACGGGTGCCACAGGACTATCTGCTGAGTGAATTCATAAAAATGAAAGAATTCCTTGGCAAAGAACCAAACAAAGTGACCCTGGGGCTCGTGGACACCAAGCATTGCCCCTTCAAGGTCACAGGACTGAGGAGGACGTAGGCCAGGTCCCTCGCTCCCACTCAGCCCTGCCGCCCCCAAACCCAAAACCTCCGGTCAACTCCCCCATCCTCGCCGCCTGAGGCTCGGGAATAAGTCTGGTCAGAGAAGGGTCGGGACAACAGTGAAGACGGCTCCATGCATCTCTGGCTGGACCTCTGCCTGGAGGACTGCCTGTGCCTCAGTTTCTCTACCTAGAACACGGCAGCTGAGCTGCTGCTCCTCTGCCTCAGGTGCAGAAGGACCAGGAGAGACTTGCAGAGTCGGTCCTTCCTGCCTCATTCCTCCCTCCCCGCGGGCTGGGCCATGCTCCAGTCAGACCCACGCTCCCGCCCAGGGGACAGGGTGATGCCGTGAGGAGCTGCCTCCAAAACAGGGCCACAGGGTCAGCGATGGGAGGCCCCCGGTTTTCCGGCACCATCGCTGGACTGGACGAGAAAACAGAGGCTCAGGGAGGGAAGGGAGGTGACTCGGGACAGGAAGGAATCAGTGATGGGCCCAGGGGATACCAGAACCTGGGCGCTGCCTCCCAGCTCGGAGCTCTCCTCTCCCTGAGCACGGCGACACCCAGGACAGACCCTGACTGCTCCACGTGGGTATCCGCCCCCATGACCGTGTCCTGACCAAGGGGAGCCAAGGGTGTACAGTCTGAGACTGACTTACAGGCCGCCAGGGGCCCCGGCTCTGACCATAGCCCCGGCCTCCCTAGAGAGACACCATCAGCCACGACGCGGCTTCCTAAAGCATCTGCTTGTGACAGGTCCCTGGCCTCTGGGTCCCACAGGCTGCCGTGGATGCTCAGGGGCCCGGCAGACACCAGGTCTGGCTTCTCAGGAGCCACATGAGGCCCACAGGAGAGGTGGAGCTGGAGGCCCAGGTATGGGAGCCCGGGCGTGGGCGCCGATACCACGGTGACTCTGCCATCAGGCTCGGTGGTTCAAGGGCCTGGGGCCTGGGCCTCCAAACAAGGGAAGAATCCTGCCAGGTGTCTAACCCCTCCCCCCCGTCCCAGCCCAACAGCCTAGGTAATTACCAGGTAAAACCACTCAAACTGCAAGGGTTCTACTAGTGCAATTAGTACATCAGAATAAAGAAGGCCCTTCTGACAGCTGCTGGGCCCGCCCACAGCCTGGGCCTCCGCGGAACAAAGATCTGCTTGTTAATCCCACAGCGTCAGAGGCCCTAGATCTTAATGAAACACGCACAGACGGCGTGGGAAGAAGCCGGCATCTGGAATCCACAGCCCCGGATGATGTCATGGACGTGCTGTGTGGCCCTGGGCTGGTCACTTTACCTCTCGGAGCCCATGAAAAGGGGGCTGGTGGCTGGTACAACAGCTTGCATGTTACCACATGGATGGAACGTGGACTTTTCCGGCTACAGAACTTCAAGCGCTAGTTTGTATTCTAAAAATAGGTAGAGACACCTTTGGGTTGGCTTTTAAAACCCATTTCGGTTGCACATAAGAAGCCTGGGACATTCCCAGCACATCCCCCCAAGGCTGGGCAGCAGCGGGGAGGGACGGGGGGCAGCAGGGACCAGGCGCAGGTGCACCTATGACAGGGCTGATGTTCTGCTCCTCCCATCCATCAACCAATCACACGGTAACCTGTCGACGCGCTGATCTCAAGCAGCCCCATTTTACAAGGAGGGATCTGGGGCTCCAAGAGGGTAAGGGACTTGCTGGAGGCCACCCAGCAGAGGCAGGAGAGGAGGCCGATCTGCGTGAGCTCCGGGTGCTGCTGGATTCACAACGGCGGCTCCCACCGAGGCTGTGCACGCCTTCACCAGGGGATGCTGGGAAGCAGGACACCGGCCGGGCGGTGACTCACTCTAGTGGACGTTTCCCTTAGGGACGGTGTCAGGATGACAGTACCCACAACCCTCTTGGTTCTGAGCCCCAGGTCAGCTAGTCCAGAGGACAGGGCTCTAGCCTCAGTTCCACACATGGTCTCTTGTGTCCTGAGCCCCCACCTGCCCTTCACCAGGAAGGCGGCGTTCAGAACCCCCGACCCAAGTCCTGTGCCGGGCACTCGGCTCTCAGCAGAGAGGTTAGCAGCCACTTCCTGCTGCTCACTCCCCCCTCGGCCACCCTCTGGGCTGTGGGGACAGAGGTCCCCTTGGCCGAGCCCTCCGCCTGCCCTAGTAGAGGAAGCAAATGGCTGAAGACCCCACAAAACCCGCTGCTGCTCCATCCCCTGGGTTTCTCTGCCTCAACCTCCCCGGAAGCTCTCTCCACCCTGCAAGTCTGCCCTCCTGACAGTAGAAATGTCACCTCCTCGAGGGCTGGATGTAGGGCCAACACCCCGGGCCTGTCCCGACTGGGCCACCGCCAGGCTGCGCCATCCTGGGCGAGACGCCGCCTCTCTCAGCCTGTGCCCTCATCTGGGAGGCGGGCACGATACCACGTCTGTTCCCAGGTTGTGCGAGGGTTAAGGGTGACGCTGCCGGTGAAGGGATGCTGGTGGCCTTGGCGAGGGCCCGTCCCCACCTCAGCCCGAGCTGGGGTCCCTGAACCCCCAGACCCAGTCTGGTGTGGGCTCGCGCCCAGACCCCTGGCCTCTCTGGCCGCGACAGGTGCAGAGCGGAGAGGGGACGTTGCTGACTCTAGGTTCAAGAGCGTGTGTGCAGTCACCCAAAGACGGCGGAGTCCTCTCACCGCAAACGGCCCCGGCACTTGAGGAAAACTTGTGCGCAGCACAGGCTGGGCTCCGAGCGGGCAGCCGGGAGGGCCCGCGGCCGGTCCTCCACCGGTCTGGACGGCGCGCGCCGAGCCGGCTGCGGGGCTGGGCCCAGGCGACCGCGCGGCCGAGCTCGGAGTCGCCTTCCCCGCCCGCCGCCCCGACGGCCACGCCCTCCCCAGGAGCTGGGGCTCCGGCCGGCACCGGCGGCGGCTCGGCGTCGTCGGGGCTCCGGGGCAGCTCCCTCCGCGGGCGGGGCGGGGCGGGGCGGGGCGGGACCGGGCGGCCCGCGCTCACCTCCGTCCCCGGCCCCGCCCCTATCGCTGCGCCGCATCCCCGCGGGTCCCGCCGCCCGCCGGCAGGAGAGGACTCCGACCCCGGGCGGCTGCGCGGCTGCGGGCGGAGGGACGCGCGCCCCAGCGCTCCCGGTCGCGCCGCCGCCGCGGGGCCCACGGCCCGAGGCCACAGCCCTGCCCCGCCCCGGCCCCGCCGCCCGGGCCCGTCCGCCGCACTCACCCACGTTGACGAAGCTCATGACCAGGTCGGCGCGGCCCGGGCGCCGCGCGGGGGGGCCGCCGTCCTCGTGGTCGTCGCGGGCCATGGCGCGGTACAGGCCCAGCATGAAGAGCGGCGCCGACGCCGGCAGCCGGGCGGCGGCGGGCGGGGCGCGGGGCCGGGGCCGCCCGGGCAGCCCGAGCACCGCCAGGATCTCGCGCTGCATGTCGCGGCGCTCGCGCGGGCCCAGGCGGCGGGCCGGGCAGCCGGCCGGGGGGCGCGGGCCGGGGCCGCCGCCGCTCAGCGCGCACAGCGCCAGGCCCACGAGCCACAGCGGCCCGGGGCGCGCGGCCATGCGGCGGGGGCCGGGCGGGCCGGGCGGGCCTCCGCGGGCCTCAGCGGGCGCGCATCCGCCCCGCGGCCGGGCGGGAGCCGGGGCCGCCCCGACGGCGGGCGGCGGGCGAGCGCGGGGCCGGCGCCGCGGGGGGGGGCGGTGGCGGGCGGCCGCGGCGCTGTCCCCGCGCGCCCCCGCGCCGCACCTGCCGGGTCCGCCGCCCCGCGGCAGGCGAGCGCTCCCCCGGGGCCCACGCGCGTGCGGACGCCGCGCCGGCAAAGGCTCCGCCGAGGCGCGCGGGGCGGCGGGGGCGGCAGGGGCGGCGGCGGCGAGCGCCCGTCGGGGCCGAGCGGCGCGGACCGAGCGGCGCCTCCGCAGCGGGACCCGCCGTCTGCGCCGCGCGCCCCGCCCCCGCCGCCCGTGGGGCCCGCGCGCCGCCTCGGCCCCGCCCCGGCCCCGCCCCCTCCGGGCCCGACCAATGGGGGCGCGGGGCGGGGGCGGGGGCGGGGCCAAGACCGCGGCCGCGACGCCGGGAGGCTGCTGCTCCGCCTGGGCGAGGGCCGAGGGGCGAGGGCCGAGGGGCCCCTGCCCGCCGTCGGGGCGTCTGCGCCGCGCTGGGCTCCGATCCGGCCGCTGGTGGCGCCGTCGGGCGAGCGCGAGGTCCCGGCCCGGGGCTCCCCGGGGACCCGGAGTCTCCGTCCCGCCCGCGCAGGGACCCGCAGCCCCTCCCGCTGCGCAGACCGTCGCTGGGGACCCGAAACGCCTCGGGCGGGTGCGGAGGTCCAGGGCCCCGCAGGTGCCCGCCGCGCCCGGAGGTGGGGCGCTTCCTCTGCCCGCGGCCGCCTCCGCACCTCCTCGCTGGCACCCGGGCCCTCCCCGCCGTCGCCTTGCACGCGCGCTGGGCGCTTCTCCTTGCGCGACCCCTGCTCAGCCTCCGCTCCCCGCGCGCCCCCACCTGGCTCCCCGTGCTCCCGGCCGGTGCCCCAGGCGGGCGCCCCACACCCCGCGCTGTGCCCGCGCCCTGCGGGCCCCAGGGCCGATCCAGCGGGCTTGGGAGACGCGCCCGGCGTCCCGCTGGGCCGGGCAGCTCCGGGCCCTGCGGAGCGCCTGGGACGGGCTTTGCTCGCCCCGCGGTCAGGGCCCTGGCGGCTCGCGAGAGCAGCTCTGCACGGAAGCCCCCGTCGCCTCAGCCCCCTCTGCACGCTCTGCTCTTCCTGGGCGCTCCCTCGCTGCGCTAACTCACGCTGGGAGGAAGTGACCCCTCGACTGCGCTGGGAAGGCTGAAGGACTGGGCCCGGTGACAGCAAAGGGCAGGGGGAGAAGAGTGCCCCAGGCAGAGGGAACAGCGACTCCGGGGAGCGTAGTGCAGGCACCACTTGGCACTTAGCATGCGCCGGCAGGGCTCTGCCTCGCTTCTTTAATGCTAGCACACACCGGCTTGATGCCATTTCACCCCCTTTTCAACAGACGAGGACGCTGAGGCACGCAGAGGTTGAGGGACTTTCCCTGTCACACGACAGCGGAGCCGGGCTTGGGCAGGTGGGCGCTTGCAGGTGAGCTGTTCAGTGGAGCCCAGAGAGCCAGCAAACGGCGAGGGTGAGGCTGAGGCCGAGGGGCTGGCCAAGGATGGATCCAAGGGCCTCGCAGGGAGACTAGAGGAGGGCCCTGGACAACAGATGGTTATGGGGCCCCAGTGTGGATTCAGTATTAAACTTCAAAATACATTAAGAAGTCCACCAAAATTAAGATTTTCTCATGATCACTTCGAACTTTTAAAAAATACTGAAACCGGGCTGCTTGGCTGGCTCGCTCAGTGGAGCATGGGACTCCTGATCTCAGGTTGTGAGTTCAAGCCCCACATTGGGCGTGGAAGCTAAAGGCTACTGTACATAAACAATCATTTGTTGGTGCCTTAGGCTCGGGCTCAGTCTGCCTTTTATCCAACGGGTGCATTCCCACGCTGCTTACAAGCCTCTTAAGGATGTTGCAGCTTAGCCACCGAAAGTGCCCAAGGCAGAGTCTGCTGCAGGGGCGAGTGTGGATTGGAGGGACGAAGATTAGAGTCAGCGCCCACAGTGGAGGCAGGTACAATGGGGCGGGGGGGGGGGGGGACAATGACTGATCCGTTTTGGTGACAGGTGGAGGGCAGAGGAGAAAGCGGTTGAGGAGGCTGCATCCCCAGGGCTTGGTGACTGCGGACAGAGGCAGGGGCAGAGTCAAGGGGGCATCCCGTGTCAGGCTCGTTCAGGGTCTCAATCTCAGGTCCTCTTCACTGTCCTCTGGGCATCCCTCGGCGCTCCCCGCGGAGTCCACACCACATCATTGGGGGCCTCACGTCTAGCCTGTAACCCTCCCGTTGTGTATGGTGCAACACTGGGCTCCCAGCTAGACTGTCAGCAGCCCAGTGCAGGGCTCATACTTAGAACAGAAATCATTTATCTCAATATAGGGTTAGCGGAGACAGTGGTGTTCTTTAAATAATGGATCTTGGGGCACCTGGTTGGCTCAGTGGTTGAGCGTCTGCCTTTGGCTCAGGTTGTAATCCCCTGAGGTCCTGGGACGGAGTTCTGTAAAGGGCTCCCTGTAGGGAGCCTGCTTCTCCCTCCGCCTAGGTCTCTGCTTCTCTCTCTCATGAATACATAAAACTTTTTAAGAATAATAATGGGCCTCACATTCCCATAAACCTAAACATCAGGTTTGAGCCATTCCGAAGGTTGTCACCCCACAACTCAGTTCAATAGCAACCACCATGGGCTGCTTCTTCATGCTCCACCAGAGATGAAGCTGACCAGTCCCTGTCCCCCAGGGGATCAGCACCCCCAAATAAGGGTAATAGCCAGGTGAACATAGTCTCTACAGAAGGCAGAACCAAGGCTGTGTTCCAAGACCCCAGGCCTGCAAACTGCCTGGAAGGGCAGAGAACAAGGAGCTGAGATATGGGGGTGGGGACGTGAGTGGAATCTTCAGGAACTGAGGTGGTTTCTTGGAGAATGTAGCATCAAAAAAGGGCTTTCCCCAGCTGCACCCGTCGTTCTGTGACTTTGGGCCGTTTCTGAACCTCTCAGACTGTTTCTCATCTGTGAATGGGGTCATGATAGTGGGGCTGGATAGAGAGCATTTAGCAGTCACTGGCCTACAGCAAGCAGTCAGTAAATGTTAGCTGTTGTTACTGTATCATTCAAAACCCCAGGGACTCATGCATCTCTACCCAGCAAACACCAAATTAGTATCACACGTTTAGCACTAGGATCCCAGAAGTGTAATTTTAAGCTTTTTTTTCTGTCATCCCTATATTCTCTATATGGCCTTACATGTAGGTATTTGTTGAATGGAAAATAAACTTTGTGAAGATTCCACTAGCTGAGCTTTGTTGCAAATGGAAAATTTGAATTACTTGGTTTAAAAAAAAGTGATCACAGTCCAGAATCTGAAAGGATGGAGGAGGTCAAGCAGTTTGAAGTATGCTTCTGCTGCCAGGAAGCCTAGAGAAGCAAATTTGGGTGAAAACACTATCCTGCACAATTCTGGCAGTTTGAAGTTACCTAATCCCAGGAGGAATAGAGTAAGTACTTTCTTCAGAGTCAGTACATCAAGCTGGATTTCTTTTAATCTGGATAGTCAGGTTCCAATAGCTTTGGCAAACATGTATCCATCTCACTCAATCCTGATGAGCTAAGGAGTATGGCCTAATGATCAGAAACACAGGTGGCTGGAGTTTGAACCCCTCTTACCTACACCTCAGGTTCTCTTGTTACTCCTAGCCTAATTCCTGCTGTTAGAGTTACTTAGTATTTGGCTGTTCTAATAACTATAAAGCCGACTAGGGTCTGGAGGAAACAGAAATGCCAGACTTCAATAGGGAATCAGTGATTTGCTTTAAGGTCCATTTTTGCCATTTATTAATTCTGTGATCTCAAGCAAATAACCTTCTCTCCCACTTTCCCATTGCTGTGTCTCCATCTGCAAAGGAGAAAAGAGCCAGATTTGATGACCAACTTTTGCTTTCACTTTTGAAATTCTGTCATTTAACCAGCCTACTGTGGGAAATTGGCCCCCATTCTCTGAAACCTGGGATCATTGTGGTTTCTAGTACAGAAATCTTATATATTGCTATTTGTGTAATCACCTAAGTGAAGCAGATACCCTACAGATTTACATTAACAATAGCCTGATTATTTTTGTTGCTTTGTTAAAATTAAAAAGGATGAAACGAGAAAAAAAAAATCTACGAGTGAGCTCCATAATTTATCCACCAAGATATTTTGATTTGAATAATGCATTTAAGTACCCAAAACACAATCATACCCAGGGTAACATGTTATATATAAGGTAATAGTTGAGAAGAAAATCAGGAAATACAAATTTGTTACTGCAAGCAATTTTAATACAAAAGTGTGTCTTGTTTTTAAACAGTTCATTGGTAGAGCTTCAGTTTCTGCCTCAATTAAAACCAATTGAGATAATCACACAGCAACATGGTCGGAGCTGAAGAACAGCAGCTAAAAAATAGGAGCCCCAGATAGCCCCTCTTCATGGTCACTTGGTCAGTTGACTTTATTACTCACAAAAAAAGACGGAAGCAAACGGGACTTGTTAACAGGTGTGCTGGTGAACTCCTTTAAAGGACGAGCAAGTGTTTATGTCCATATTTTCAGAATAGGCTCGTGGAATTCATTCCTCAGTTTGTGGGAAGTTGATCGACCATTTAAATAAATAGCAAAAATGCAGATAAACAAATCTGTAATTCATAGTGCCACCAAGGAGTCTCCCCTTGCCAAGGGCTTGGGTCCTGGTGAGCACAGGAGTTATTGGTGGCAGGGCTGGATAGGAAGTTACAAACCAGGACTCTTAAAAACCCCAATGTTCTGACGTCTTCTCAACAGTCATTTACCCCTGAATTCTAGCAGCTATTTGTCCTTTAAACACCCAGTACTGAGATAGTATTTAAAGTATTGCAATGAACTCCTTTTGCTGATCATGTGCAAACATTACCTAGAGGAGGTTCCCTCTCTTCAGCTAAA